GGGAGAGAGAGACAGAAAGAGGGGTGACGCTCCCACAACTTCTGAAGGAGAGCTGTCCCATTGAATATAGAATAGTAGAGTTGGAAGAGACCTTGTAGGTCATCTAGTCCAACCCCCTGCCCAAACAGGAGACCCTACACACCATTTCTGAAAGATGGCAGTCCAATCTCTTCTTGAAAGCCTCTAATGATGAAGCTCCCACAACTTCCAAAGGCAACTTCTGTTCCTTTGGTTGATTGTCCTCACTGTCAGAAAATTCCTCCTTATTTTCAGGTTGAATCTTTCCTTGGTCAGTTTCCATTCATTATTCCTTGCCTGGCCTTCGGGTGTTTTAGAAAATAGCTTGACTCCCCCTTCCTCCTCTCTGGGGCAGCCCCTCAAATACTGGAAGGCTGCTCTCCTGTCTCCCCTGGTCCTTCTCTTCCCTAGACTAGCCATGCTAATCTTTTGGGACAGACTGGGTCAAACATGCGCCCAGAGGTTTTGTCTTGGCAGCGAAAGGGGTCCGAAGGCTGGGAGGGGGTCTCCTTGGGACCAGACAATTCAGGGGATTTTGTCGTCTCTGCCTTCTCTCTCTCTCTCTCTCTCTCCCCTCCCTCCACTCCATGGCTTGTTGCATGTCGGTGGATGAATTTTCAGATTAATCCACTTTCCAGCCGGCTGGGTTTGTTTGGAAATGTATGTCTTCACATTTCTTTCTGCTTCGTAAGAGCCCGGCTGTCTGCCCAGCGCTTTGCTTTTATGGGCATGGGTTAAACTGGGCAGGGATTGGTAACACCCTCGCTCACTTCCTCTCTCTCTCTCTCTCTCTCTCTCTTTTGGTGGGAAGAAACAGCTGGCCGTCACCAACTCAAGCCATGCCAGGTGCCCCCTTTTTCCCCCAGGGATTCTACAGAGACAAATTGTTCTCCCATCAGGGGGACGCTGGACTCAACTGACAATGGCTGGGCCTGGCAGGTGAGCCAGGACCAGAACCAGAACTTTGGATCTCCCTTGAGAGGGTCCCCGGTGCTTGCTGAGCTTGACGGTTTTCTTGCAGATTTTTCATGAGCCAAAACTTGGTAACATCATCAGGACTAGCACTAAGGATGTTCCCTAGTTGGGTCACGAAACGTCTGCAAGAAAACCACCAAGTTCAGAGAGCACCAAGGACCTCACAGTCCTCCTCCTCCTCTTCTTCCTCCTCCTCCTTCTCCTCTTCCTCCTCCTCTCCCTGCAAAACCCATTCCCTTCTAGCACTGAGGATGTTACCTAGTTTGGTAATGAAATGTCTGTCTCTCTCTCTCCAAGGGCCTCACAGTCTTCCTCTTCCTCCTCCTCCTGCTCCTCCTCCCCCCCAACCCCATTCCCTTCTAGCACTGATGATGTTAGCTAGTTTGGGTCATGAAACGTCTGCAAGAAAGCCACCAAGTTCAGAGAACGCCAAGGACCCTTCACTTCAACCCTGAGCTACAAATATTTCTCTTTACTAGTCTCCCAGCTTTCCCCGGCCATCCTGGGCGGTAACTTCATCTCCCAGAATTCCACGCTGGCTAGGGGTTTCGAGGAGTTGAAATCCACACGTCTCAAAGCTGACACGGATTAAGGGCAACATGTGAACTGGACGCTGGTTTCTCCCTCCGGCCGAACTAAATATTCTTGGATCAGCCCAGCCATTTCGTTTCTCCCTTGCGTTGGGCATCTATGAACGCACCAAACGTGGAAAAATTACGTCGCTTTCTTTCCTTTCTCTTTTTCGAATGAACAGAGGGTGGGAAAACACTTTTTCTTCGCTTTCTATTTCCTCTGCTAGTAAAAATCCTCCCAAACAGGCTTGGAAAATTCCGCTGATCAATTTTGTTCCATCCAAGGGGAGGGAGGGGATTTTTTTTTTAAAAAAAGGAAAATTGTTCTTTTTCCCACTGGACTCTTGCCTTTTCTCCTTTGTGCCTGTCGTCAAAAACAATGACCTCACTTTCCCCCGAGTCTCCAGGTAGTTTTAGGGAAGCAGAACTAATAAAACCCGAATAATTGAATCCTGGAATTGGCAAAGAGGCGAGAATAATCTTACGTAAACCCTGGAGGTGGCTGATAACCGCAGATTTGGGAAGTGCAGCCACGGAGTTTGCTTGGGAAAGAAACTTTTGAACCAGCAACGTTAATTAAGCAACAAATACTTGAGCGAGCAAATTTTTTCACAAGGTGTTTTCCTTCTTGCTGGTCTTATTATGGACCAAATGCAAAGAACAAAGGTGACACCCCTGGAAAAAATCATAATGAGCTTGCAATTTATGGGTTTACAGAGCAGACAAGGGGAAGAAGGAAGTGATGAAGTCACCTTAGAGAGAGAGAGAAGATAACATACGTATAAATGCATTTATAAGTGCTGTTAAAAAGAAAAAGATTAAAAGCCACTTCAATACCACTGTTTCTTTTTCTTCCTTTCCATCTTTTCTCTACATCGTTCTTTTTTTCTTGCTTGCTTGTCACTTTCTTGACTTTTCCAAATTGGTATTGTTTTTATTCTGTTAAAATTTATATATATATACACATACAGAAACAAAGATCTCTTGAGTGAATCTGTGATTCTGTGAGCAACTCAATCTGCCTGCCTGCTTTGCCTGATTTTGGGTAAAAGTTTCTCTTTTTTATTTAAAAAAAATTCAATATTTATATAAATATTTATAATATTTACACGCAAGCCATGCCCAGCCAGTCACATGATCACCAAGCCACACCCACAAATTAGGCCACACTCACAGAACCAGTTGTTAAGAAATTTGAATCCCACCCCGCCTCTGTGTGCTTGTGTGTTTGTGTGTGTGTGAGAGAGAGGAAGAGAGAGAGAGAGAAAGAAGGAGGGAGAGAGAGAGGTTAGATCAGATCTCTCTCTCTCTCTCTCTCTTTTTCTCTCTCTTTCTTTCTTTTCCACCAACATCAGCCAGCCACCGTCAGTCAAAATTCATACTAGTGGTCCCCGGGATTTTAAATTATGAGTTTGGCGGTCCCTGAGATCCAAAAGGTTGGCGACCCCCCGGACTAGATGACCTACAAGGTCCCTTCCAACTCTGTTCATTGGTAAAACTAGCTGGCCTGTGTTTTTCCTACTCCAACCTTATTTGTTTTCCTTCCTTCCAGGTAAGAGAGATCCTGGGCCACTGTACCTGCCCGTCCCAGTTCCCCATGGTCAAAGTCTCGGAGGGCAAATACCAAGTCGGAGACTCCAACGCGCTCATCTTCGTCCGGGTAAGGTCGCCTTGCAACTACTCTCTCCTTTTCTACCCCTTCCTCCATCGTTCTACCCCTCATTTTCCGCCCAGGTGGTCGAATGGACGGTGAGGAAGCCTTCCTTTGCAGCTTTCTTAATTCTGTCCCCTCGGATTCAGGGATTGAGGTGGTGGGGAAACTCCACGTGCCTCTCACGGCCTGGTGGCTTGCTCTCGTTGACATCCTGCACTACAACTCCCATCCTCCTCAGCTAGCTTGGCTGGCTTCTCCAAAGCAAAACCAGACACCCCCGCCTCCTTTTTTTTTTTTTTTAACCTGGGAGATGCAACCCCAAAGGTGTGTTTTGTTTTCAAGAGGCAACTCGACTTTCTTGTTGTTTTTTTTCTTTGAAGACGTTTCGCTTCTCGTCCAAGAAGCTTCTTCAGTTGTGACTGGATGGCGGGGAAGGGAAGGATTGATACTCCTTGCAGACAGCTGGTCATTTGCATCCTTTGAGAGAGACGTTGAGGCCACTTGGAGGTTTCTCTGTGTCCTCAGAGTCACCTGCGTGGTGCAAATGCGTGTGGAGCCTTCTTGGAACTGCTGAAAGGACCGTGTTGGAGACTGGAAATTGATGATGTCGTATCCCCCCCCGCCCCGTTGAGGGAGGGCTGTTCAATTTGGACATTGATGGCCTCTTTGACCCCGAGGAAACAGATAAAACCTCCAAGTGGCCTCAACGACAGATATGTAGGTCTAGGTGTGTTCGGGTCTTTTCCTGTATAAGATTATGTTGGCAATGTTTCGGCGAGGTCCCACTCACCATCCTCAGGCTGGTGCTTTCAGCTTCTCCACAACAAAACTCACAAGGCCATCACACAGCCCATTATACCAACATCAACTCCATCAACCAATCAAGAGGCAGCAGCGCAGCCAACCGGCACAGCACACCAGCCTTCACCACCAGTATTTACAGAGAGACGGCAGCTCCGATCACACACTGCTTGCACTGGCACAAAGCCGAAAGCACCAGCCGGAGGATGGCGAGTGGGACCTCGCCGAAACGTCGCCAAGATACTCTTAATCTTACACAGGAAGGACACCTAGACCTACATACCTGTACCCGTGAAAATCTACGAAAACATATACATACATACATACATACATACATACATACGTATTCCATAAATATAGGAATTTTTTTGTTTAATTAAAAAAAATCATGGTATGGGAGGGGAAAAATAGGGAGGCAGCTGTGCTCGTTTTCACATGACCGAAGCATAGCAGGAAACAGATGTTACTAGCAAAGCATCTGCAGGAGGTTAATGAACCCTTTTGCAAAAGCCTCCTTCATTATGTGGCTGTTTGAGCCACCCAGCAATTCAGGTCCACGGCAAGAGAGACTCATTCCAGCTGTCTTGGGGGAGGGGGCTGCATTCTGCCTCTATGCCACGCTGCCTGCCCCTTCCCTTCCCTTCCCTTCCCCCCACCGCCCCCAAATCCTTCAGAAATAGGTTTTCTTCCAGAAATATACAGTATTGGCCAAAGACAGCCAGGGGCCAGGTAATTGGCAAAGCCAGAGGGGTGGCGAAGAACCTGAGCTGAGGAATAGGGCATTGCCAGCCACGTCAGAGCCACGGATCATCTGACACAGATTTATTTAAGCTGGGGAGGGAAGGGGGGAAGGGAGGAATAGGGAAGAGAAATCGGGCTCGACTCAGAGCAACGGCGAGAAATCAGGCCAGGGCTCAAGAGCCTGATCCCTGGACAGACTTCAAAAGCTCTGCCTTATTTGTGGCCTGAGTCTCAGGTCAGCCGTGGCCATCTCTCTCTCTCTCTCTCTCTCCCTCCCTCCCTCTCTCTTCTGCCAAAATCCATTGCTGGCGTCTTTCTTCAAACTTTGCAGCCTGGCAGTCGCCGCCCCCCATTTGCAAAAGGTTTGCTTCATTACCCCAATCCCCCCGTGTCTATTGCACAGTTCCAGCCACAATTTGAGATTTTACACAGACACACACACACGCAGACACACACACACACAACGGGCTCTCTTACTGCTCTATTTTTCCACAAACTAAGCCTGTGCATTTGCATAGATAGGTTCCTCCCCACCCCCCACCCCCCACCCCCGCAATTCGTTAAGGCGCAGGAAGGCCCGTGGAGAAGGACTGCTTGGCAATTAAGTCATGCAGGCTGTGGACGAGGGGTGTTGTAGCCCAGCAGCTCTGGCTGGGGGCCAGGTTGAGGAAAAGTTGGTCTACGGGGTCCTCGTTTTTTTCTGAGCCTGGTGGTTTTCTTGCAGGTGTTTCCTTAGCACTGATGATGTTACCTAGTAGGGCAATGAAACATCTGCAAGAAAATCATGAAGCTCAGAGAACACCAAGGACCCCACAGTCGTTTTCCTCCTCCTCCTCCTCCTCCTCCACTCCCTCCTAACACTGATGATGTTACCTAGTTGAGTAATGAAACGTCTGCAAGAAAACAAGAAAGCGTGTGCCTTGTGAAGGGAATCAGGGCCCTTTCCTCCCCATAAGCCATGCAACCCACATTGCTCCCTTCTCTGTTCCTTCCTGCATGCCCTAGGATGAAGAGAGGATCGGCCTGGATTTTCCTCCGAACTCCCTCTCCCTTGTTCTACCTCTCCCCTGCTCTGCCCAGCCAGACTTTGCCCTTCCCCAGTTTCCTCCACAGCCAATGGAGCCCCACTCCCCGCTCCCTGTCGGCTGTTCATCTTCCTTTTTCAGACCTCAAGGGTTGGGGGGAGGGGCGTGACCCTCCCGTTGTGCCCTTAAATCTTGGTGTTTGGGATGTTGCAGGGACATCATTTTTAATCACCACATGGAAAGGATTGGCAATTGCTTCAATGGCCTGTTTTATCCTCTCTCTGCTTCCCTGGGCTTTCAGATTAAATTGTCTAAGCCCTTAAGATCAGAGTGAAATCTGCATGGTGGATGGAAGGGAAGGCATCACCTCAGTTTTGAACGACAAATTCTCATTCATTACGATGCCTTTCTTTCTTCTTTCTATCTTTCTTTCTTCTTCCTTTCTACTTTCTTTCTTTCATCCTTTTTCTTCTTTCTTCTTTTCTTTCTTTCCCCTTTCTTTCATTCTATCTTTCTGTTTCTTTCTTCTTTCTTCCTTCCTTCCTTCCTTCCTTCCTTCCTTCCTTCCTTCCTTCCTTCCTTCCTTCCTTCCTTCTTTTGCAGTTTTAAGGGGCCCCTGCAAAACCATCCCTCAGGCCCCAGCGAGAAAATTGCTAGGATAAAAATACAGTCCTAAACGTAAGATAATCTCCTGCCCTTTCATGTTATTCCAAGCAGGATTGTTTTCGGGTGCGTAATGATAGAGCTTGGCTTTTTAAGATACGTTGACACAACCAGAGCTGCTGCTGTTTGATAGCATGCACCAGCCGAGCAAGGGCAAGCTCCAAAGTGGAGAGATTCGGGACGGTTATTGTCCATTTAAAGAAAAAGCGCCCAAAATGGCAACTTTTATCCTTTAGGTTTTTGCAATGGAGCCTGAATTCCTGTGGCAGGGAGTCCCAAAGACGACAAGCCGCCATTGGGGGGGAAAAAAGGTTCCACAAAGAGTCTCAGAATATACAGGAAGTTCTCAACTTACGTCCAAGCCAATTGACCCTGTCTCCCCTGGTCCTTCTCTTCAGCAGACTAGCCAAGCCCAGTTCATGCAACCGTTCATCGTACGTTTGAGCCTCCAGTCCCCTCATCCTCCTGGTTGCTCTTCTCTGCACTCTTTCTACAGTCTCAGCATCTGTCATGTCCCCTGTCGGAAGTCTGAATCCGAGGAGAAAGCCAAACAGCTTACAGGGAATGGGAGTGGGGCTCCATTGGCTGTGGAGGAAACTGGGGAAGGGCAAAGTCCGGCTGGGCAGAGCAGGGAAGAGGTAGAACAAGGGAGAGGGAGTTCAGAGGAAGACTCAGGCCCACTTCCTCTTCATCCTAAGGCACGCAGGGAGGAATGGAGAAGGGAGCAACGTGGGTTGTGTGACTTACGGGGGAGGAAAGGGCCCTGATTCCCTTCATTAGCTGCAGCTGGGAACACAGTGTATAAAAAAGGCAGGTTGCGTCCAGCAGTCTGTTGGGAGCAAATGTGAATTTATCTTGTATCGTCGTGGCTTATTGGTGTTCCTGGCGTCTTCCCAACCATGTGAGTTTTGCTGTGCTTTCAAGTCTGAAATTCCTGCTCCTGCCCTGCCAAACTAATTACTTCCGTTTGGCTTGTTTGGACTTTAAGTTACAGTTTGTGCTTACCTTGTTTTGGACTTGATTCTCTGCAGCGAAAAGCTGTTCCTGGGAGAGTTTTTCTCCAGCCGAAGGTCACCTGGACATTGGGGGCAAAGTCGGAGCTAATAAAGGGACTCTTCTTGATTATCTGACTGTGTTGCCTTTGTGCCACGCCCCTTTGGGTCATCAAACATCTTTTTTATAGTGTGTGGACTATTAAAATTATAGATTTAGGGCAGGGCCCAACAAAACTCAACCAGTTTCATGATATCAGCGGAAATGAGAACACACAACTCCCTGGTTCTTTTTCTGCTCCAGAACATTTTAGGTGAACTCACAAGTTTGGGTAAAACCGGACTGTGACTTGGTCCATTGCTGGTCCTCAAAGCAACATCCAAATGGCCTAATTGGACGATGTTATTTCCTTTCCTAGGTTCTCCGCAGCCACGTGATGGTGCGAGTAGGTGGGGGCTGGGACACCTTGGAGCACTACCTGGATAAACATGATCCGTGCCGGTGTACCTCTGTCTGTAAGTATCGGAGGGGAGGGGAAATGGGAAGGGAGGGGCTTGGCGTCAGGACAGGCACACAAGTGTCCTGCATGAAGAATTAGGACCATACAATAAGTTCCAGGAAAGATCATTTATTGCTTATGTCTAAACAGTGTTGGAAGAATTATCCTTCTGCGTTCAGTTCCAAGTGGGGAAGGAAGACATTGGAAACATGGAGGCTTATTTGGAAAGATGGTTTAATGGTGGACAGGACTACATGGCTTGGAGCTCCAAAGAAGCAAGGGCTGAGATACTGAGAGTGCCTGGGTTTTATACCTTCTGTTGAGATTTGAATTTGAGCTTGCATTCTGATTGGTTGTCAGACTCCCATGGCGCTATGCGGGGGCCATTTTGTAGGCTGTCCTTGGAGTCCCAGGTTTGGTTGAGCCTTTGCTGGATGATGATGTCATGAAAAGGGCTTTGGGTGATTCCTATTATAGCTCTGCCTGGAGGAGGTCTTTGTTATGTAAAAATAGACCGGCCCAGGCCAGAGTAATGGTCCATTAGCAAAGGGGTGGGGGGCTGAGTTTCTGCCTCTTTTTGAGTTTCTACTTTTCTTTTTAGGGGAAATATTCTGCCTTTTCAGGATATCCGAAAATATTTCATTTTCCTAGGAGACGGGTGGGTTTTAACTTCCAACAACCGGTAGTTCTTAACGCGCAGCCACAATGGAGACCCACATGCATGCCGCTAAGCAAGACGTTAAGTGAATTTTGCCCGCCTTTTTTTAACGACCTTTCAGGGTTGTTAAATGAACCATGATACACAAGGATCTAGTCAACTAAGGCTCAGCAATAACTGGCATTAGATAAAGGCCAGCGGAATTCCAAAGGGATTGGACCGGGGAAGTTTGTGGCAATGTAAAGACTCCAGGCTGATTCCTCTCTTGACTCCTCCGCCCGTCCATCCTTCTCCTCCATCGAGTGGAGAAAGCTAAGAAGGCCTTTCCACCACGTTGTAGTAGTGGATGAGTATCCAAGGCGACACTTTGACCTTTGGATGGCGCACCAGAGATCCCGCTGCAGAAAGGAAAGGCATGAAACTGAAAGCGGGTGGGATGTACGTGACCTTATCTTAGATGAGCTAATTCTATTGTATTGTAAAGCTATGTTGACAGAAACTTGCAAGTGTGAAAGTACAATCTTTTCCCGGCCAACTAGGGAGGGTCTCTCTTCTACCCTTGCCCCGCCCACTACTCATTTCATATCTTTTTTTAATTTCTTTTTTTGGGGGGGAGGAGGGGGTCAACCATAGAGAAATGGCTTGCTTTTCCTACTTTCTGGATCGTCTTTGACACCCCAGCTCTCCCTTCTAGATCTCCTTTCACGTACGAGCGGTCTCAGTTCTGCTGAAATTTTGGAGTTCAACTAAGGCCCCTAAAGCTAAATCTTCAGCAGGCTTTCAGATCAAGGCGTCCTTGGTCAGTGGCTTTGATGGCTGGGAGCTACTGGCTGCGAAGCCAATCAGGGCTGGGCCCCGAGTTCAAATGCTACCACACGCGTGTCTCTGGTGCTACCTCAAACCGATAATGGGGGTGGGGGAATCTGAACACCAGCAGCAAAAAGGAAAATTGTTTTGGGAAATTTCCTTCCAAGGTGTTAAAGCCCTGTGTAAAATTCCACGCTGTAATTTTTGGAGTTAAAAGAAAGAAAAAATAGAATAGAATAGAATAGAATAGAATAGAATAGAATAGAATAGAATAGAATAGAATAGAATAGAATAGAATTCTTTATTGGCCAAGCGCGATTGGACGCACAAAGAATTTGTCTTGGTGCAAATACAAAAGAGAAAAAAGAGCCCAATTTACACTCTCGTGTATCCCCAAGGAGTTAACTGGAAGCTTCCTGTGAGAAAAAGGCAACAGGAAACAATATTCATCCAAAAAATGACATAATTAAAACTGGGAGACTCAAGCAAGATGTTGGTTGAGTTGCTGCATTGCAATGGCGCCCCCTGGTGGCTTTTAGCCATCAGACATTTGTTGAGATATCTATATATATATATAAAAGCAAAAAATACCACTCACGCATCATCACAAAATCTCCAGAATCGTAAAGCCTACAAACTTGAGATTTGGCACATTATCTTCCTCTTGGCTTCTAGGGGATCGCTAAGAAAAGTTTTTTTTTCGAAATGACCATCATAGCATTTAGTATTTCCTATATTATTACTTATTAACACGCTCGGATGCTAAGGAGTTCTACTCCCCCTGCCCACCTGAAAAGAAATCTCTGCCAAATGCAAAACACAAGCAGAGGAGAGGCGTTTCGGTTTCAGTTTCACAGCAGCAAGCAGCTTTAGGACAGAGCAGTTGAGCTAAGCCACACCCAGGCTCCTTGCTGTCTCCTTCTTGCTCACACAGCAAATACGGTTTCAGTCTCCAAACAGTCCTCAACTCACTCTCACACTGACAGGATTATTTAGATATTCTTTCTCATTATTTTTTTTTTGCAGCTCACCGTCTGACGCAGAGTCGGGGTCTTGGCTTCTCCCCCCAGAAGACAAGCGGTCTGGCCAGTCCCCAGGCAAACAGCCCCACCACTCAGCGTCGGGCCGAAGCTGTGGGTCTGCATAGAATCACCGAGACCCACCACTTGGGGGAGAAACGGCTCTTGGCTGGGGGGGACTCGGCTCAACCCAAAGGAAACCGCCCCGGCCCTCCCACCAAGAGATCTGGGACGGCTACCCCGCCGAGGCAGGGAACGCTGGCCCCACCAAGTGGGAAATGCAGTGGGTCAGGTCTGAGGGGCGCCAGCCCTCTCAGGGGGAGCATGCCCCAAGCCCCCCAGGACCCGGGAGATTCCCACCTCTCAGTCAGGTAAGGCATGGGATGAAAAGGGGTTGCATATTTTTATTTTTTAAATATTTTTTATTGTTTTACATCATACATTTCCTTTCTATGTTGAGCAGCGTGCTCTCTAGGTGTCCAAGGTGTTAACATACAAAGAATAGAATAGAATTAGAATTAATAAGAGAAGAGAAGAGGAAGAGGAAGAGGAAGAGGAAGAGGAAGAGGAAGAGAAGAGAAGAGAAGAGAAGAGAAGAGAAGAGAAGAGAAGAGAAGAGAAGAGAAGAGAAGAGAAGAGAAGAGAAGAGAAAATAAAGTAGAGTGGAATGGAATGGAATTGAATAGAATAGAATTAGAGTAGAATTAGAATAGAATAGCCTTTTGAAAATACACTTTTTGAGACAACTGTGACCTGATTAACTGAGTGTTTGAAATTCTGTTTATATATAGCAGTACAAATCAAAGAGAGTGTACAGTCACCATGTGCTTTACTGCTTCACTGATTTAACTGTAACAGGAAACAGGAAGCTTTTCTTCAAACAAAAGGGCATAGAGTATATACCATAGATCCAAACTTGTAAACATTGCCATCTACTGGCTGAATGTTACCGGAGTTGTTGCATAAAAATACGAGGAAACCGTATTCCAGCACTGAGAATCTCCACGGACACCAGTCTTAAAGTTGCCAAGTTTGGAAACCCCTGGCCTAAACAGATAGCAGAAGAGAAGTTGAAGCCATCCCCAGCCAGGTGTTGGGAAAACAGAAGAGCAGCCAAGGGTGACTCACCCAAAGCACAGAAGCAGGATAAGGCTGAGAGGCCGCCTGACGTGATGACAGGTTTTTTCCAGACTGCTTTCTGAGCCAGAGCTATGAGTAAGGAAAGCCGAGGAGGCTCTCTGGGTTATCTATTCTACTAATTGCTCCATAATGGACTGAGTGGAAAGGGTGGGGTAGACAGAAAAACAGGAGGTTGAAGACTAAGAGCCTCTTTTCAGACAGCCCTGTGATGAAAAACGAGAAGCTTCTCCCTGGGTTGTCTGGAAAGGAGCTCTCAAATTCCTCCTGATTTTTTTGCTGTTGTAAAATAGATATAAATATAGGACCATCTGCAATCAGAAAAAGAAACTGTTTATATATAGCACTACAGATCAAACAGAGTGTACAGTCACCATGTGCTTTACTGCTTCACTGTTTTAACCAATAGGAAATAATAGGAAGCTTTTCTTTGAACAAAAAAGCATAGAATATATACTCGTGAATTTACACCCAATGATCAAGAGGCCAAAATGGTGTTTTAAAAGCTGCCATTCTTTCTTGCAGGAACCCCAGGGCTCGGCGTCTTTCCGGAGACAGCGATTCCTCTTCCTCCTCCTCTAGGCACAGTGCCAGCTTGGGAAGGAAGCGGAACGAGGATGCCAGCCTGGCACTCAGGAAGGAGGCTGGGAGGCACATCTCCGAGGGGCCAGCCTCCCAGCTCCCTGCCAGTCCCAAACGTCTACCAGCCAGCCGGAGTCAGTCGCGAGACCGTCTCAGCTTGCCGAAAGGTGTGGCGGTGGCTAGGAGGATTGAGTCAGAAGAGCGGGGCCGTCCTCGCGTGACAAGCCGGCCCAGCAAGCCTGGACTGCAGAGCCCTCGTCCCCGGGCCCGCAGCCAGGGAAGGCCTGGAGGAGAGCCCGTGCTGCTTATCAGCCGAGCAAAGGATGGACAGCATTCCTGGACCCGGGCCGACGAGCCCAAGGAGAATGCCGGGGGCTCTGGAAGAACCACCCCCAGGACCAAGAGCCCAGCAAGGGGTCACCTGACCCCGGTGGGGTCCCGAAGCCCTGCCTCCACCAAGCGCCGGGGTTCCCTGCCCGCCACAAAAATGGCCAATCCCTCCGCGCGAATCCCTCCACCGGCCACAGGACGTCAGCGACAGCCCTGCTTATCCGGACAACGTGGGATCGTGAAACAGCCCCAGTTGGGGGAGCGTCGGCCCTCCAAGCAGCCTGATGACACTTTAGGAGAAGAGCTGGAGGTGATGGCGCAGGCTTTCCGCACCCCGCTACACCTCGATCCGAGCCAGGAGCAGCAGCTCTACCGGCGCCTGGAGGAAGAATTCCTGGCCAATGCTCAGATGATGGGTTTGGAACTAAACGAAGAGCTGGATGTGGGGAGCCAGGCCTGTAACGGTGCCCGACTCTTGCCCACGAATCCGGACCAAGGCACTGCCGACTCTGCCTACTGTTCCTCCAGCTCATCCTCTTCCTCCCTCAACGTCTTCAGCAAATACGGCGTCCAACCCGAGGAATCCAAGCGGAAGGCAGCCCACCAGGTGATGGGAGGTTCCGAGCTGGTGGATTTCCACAATGGCTCGGCAGATGCTTCCGAGCTCTGGGACTCATCCGGATTCCGTGAGCGAAGGAGCCGCTGGAGGAAACCCGTCCTTTCGAGCTCGTCCGATGAAAGCAACTGCTACCTGGGACTGAACGACGTCCAGGAAGTCCAGGAGAGTCTGGAGTTGGCCGAGCCTCTGGCGGATAGCCCCTGGGCTGCTGGGGAGCCGGTCCCTTCCCACACAGAGCTGGGACCCTCCCTCCAGGATGGCCTGGAGACCCTTGGCACATCCCCTTCGGCTCTTGCCCTGGAAGAAGTCGTGCTCCGTCCCCCGTCGTCCCTGAGGAAGCCCGACCGCGTGCCTTCCATCTACAAGTTGAAGCTGCGCTCGCAAATTAAGCCTCGTGCCGACTCCCAACCGGACAAGACCCCGTCGAAAATCCCTACTCCCCTCAGCTACAAGGCTTCTGGAGCCCAGAAGGCTCCAACGGGAAGCGCCTCTTCCAAGGACAGCCCAGCTAGAGGTCCCTCCGAGAGCCGGGGCTGGACAGCCTTCCACAACATCTTCTCTTCGTCCTTCGGGGAGTGTCCCGGGAGTTCAGTGGAGTCCAGCATGGCTAATGAGGGGGCTTGGGCCTAGGCACCGGTGGACAGTACATCCCCCCTCTCCTCCCCCCCTTGCACCCGCTTCTGTGGTCCTGGCCTTCTCTTTCCAGCTGCTTTCTTGGACCTCTTCCCAGTGTGACTTTGTCATATGCTGCTGTGCAGAGGGGTTTTTTATTTTGGGTGATGGGAGGAGAAGGGGGACGCGGGGAGAAAGCCTTGCATTGCAAAAGGGGACCCATCCTTCTATATTTTATTTTTGGAGCATGAGGCTGGAAGACGGCGGAGCTTAAATGGCAGTACCAGGAGGTTGGGGCTTAGGTTGCATGTGTGTGTGTGGTGTTGTTGTCGGGAGGGCGCGTATGTGTGAAAGGCTTGTATGGGAACGTCCTTTAACACTGGATACTAAAGGGAGCCTCAGGGTTAATATTCACTCCTTTGGTCAATCACTGTCCAGCTTCTGCCATCTTGGCGTTTCTGTAACCGTCTATGTTCCGCACAATTAGTCCTCGATGTACGAAGATATAAACCGCCAACCTCCGTCACGTAAGTGATATGGTTGGTAAGTGCCCGATTTAATTACCTGTTTCACCGCGGTGGTTAAGCAAATCCACCTGCCCCATTTAACTTCTTCAGAATCCCCCCGAAAGGGTCTCAAACAATCACATGATGCCCCCTTCCCTGGAGGCTGTCACCACCATAAAGATACTGGCTGCCAAGCACCTGAAGTTTGATCGCGGGGCAGCCGCCAGTGCAAGATTCATTGGCAAGTCAAGAGTTTTTGGTGCCGTCATAACGTTTGAATGGTGGTTTAAAAATGGCCGCCAGTCAAGGAGTATTTGTGGCACATCTGTGGGTGAAATTCGGAGGTTTTTTTTCCCTTTTCAGCAAAGCCCTTATTTCTTTTGGAGTTTTATCATTTGCCCTTTATCAGGGCAACCTGGTCTACTCGAATATGGGACGGAGTGTACCGCTTCCGCTTCTGGCTCTCCCCGCCCCGCCCCCAATCCAGGAGCCTTCGCAGGCAGTCGCTTTCGTGACAAACTATCTTTGTGTTACATTTATGTTTTTTTTACCAACCAAGAAATAAAGGGGGACTAGCATAGATCTATTTCGAGCTATTTCAAGAGCCACGGTGGCGCAGTGGTTAGAGTGCAGTACTGCAGACCACTTCTGCTGACTGCCAGCTGCCTGCAGTTTGGCAGTTCAAATCCCACCAGGCTCAAGGTTGACTCCGCTTTCTGTCCTTCCAAGTGGGTAAAATGAGGACCGAGATTGTTGGGGGGCAAGAGGCTGACTGTGTAAACCCTCCTTCCTTCCCTCCTCCTTTCCTTCCTTCACTGCCTCCCTCCCTCCTTCCTTCCCAGTGGTTAAAAGGCAGTATTGTAGACTAATTCTGCCGACTGCCAGCAGTTCAATCCTGACCAGCTCAAGGTTGACTCAGCCTTCCATCCTTCTATAAAATGAGGACCCAGATTGTTGGGGGCAAATAGGCTGACTCTGTAAACTGCTTAGAGAGGGCTGTAAAGCACTGTGAAGCAGTATATTTAGTCTATGTGCTATTGCTATTTAGCTGTCATCAGCTAGCCATGCCCTTCTGGTATGAACCCGGGTTCGAATTCCAGAAGGGTACGTTTAGCTGACAAGAAATAAATAGCTTGAAGTAGATCTATACTAGTCTCCCTTTATTTCTAGGTTGGAAAATATATATTTTTCCAGCACTAAAGCTGACCCCGGACGTTTAGCCTGATTTGATGTGAATCTCATCACAGCTTCTTCCTTTTGGTCTGGGGCTGCCATGCTATTCTCATGCGGTGAAAGGCCACTGTTTTCAGGAACAAGGCAAAAAGGATGGCAATTTTGATTGCACATTTGTGGTTGCCCCTTTGATATTTTTTAATTTTTATTTTACTTCTTCCCTCCTCTTTCCCAAAGCATCCGCCCTTGTTTCCAGACCTCCAGTCACAGAGGCAGCGTTGGCACGGATCGAGCATTTGAGTATGTCAGGATTGTGGAGTGTTGTGTTCTCGTCAGGGCGTTGTGTTGTGGAGCAGTTTGCCCCGTTCGTCTTCTGCACGCACACCTTGTTTCCGTGCAGTCGGAATCGGAAGAGTGCCTTATGGGGTTGGCTTGTTTGGGGGGGTGGGGGAAGGGGGGAAGACCGAAGGACGGGCTGGGGAAAGTGGTTTGACTCCATTTTAGTGGGCCCCATTTGGAGTCGAGCCTTTCTTCTCCCAGAGACTCCGTGGCGGAGTCACATAATGGACGCTGAGCGGCACCGATGAAGCGTCTCTAAAAACCTCAGGAAAAGTTGGGTACACATTTTCGGGAACAGGACCAGTAGCGGGGTTCAAATAGTTTTAACAAGCGGTTCTCTGCCCTCGGGACCAGATGGGTAGGCATGGCTGGGTGATCATCGGACAGAGTGGGTGTGACCAACTCAACATCACTCACAGACTTTGCCTGGCCACTCACCTCGCCTACTGGCCACTTGCTGGGTGGGGCTGGGCTGGGCGGGGCCCCCGATTCAGCCAGTTTGCCAAACTCCAGGAAAAATTAGCTACCGGTTCTATTGAACCGGTGCGAACCGGCTGAATCCCACCACTGAACTGGATCACAGGGACTCCCTCAATTCTGCAAGTCAATCGTTGCATGTGGGAAAACGTCGGTTGCGTGAGTGGGAAAAGCGGACAGGGAGGGAATGCTGAAGTCTTTGCACGTGAATTTCTCTTTGGCAGGGCCCCTCTCGGCCTTCGTGACACCCCCACCCCCAGCCCACCCTTCTGATCACTGGAGATCTGTTGAATAAATCTATGCATATTTATATAAGTAATAGGGAGCTTCGGTCTCCTCCCGTAGAGTGCCTGCTATCCAACCCCGTGAATGTAGCTGATTAAACCGACCTGCAAATACCTGAATCCAGACAGTAAAGACTGACATATCACCTGCTGTGGCCCTGCGCCCTTTTTTGGTGGGTGTGTATGTGCGTGTAAATGGGTGCGTTAGTATGGAAGTATGCTGTGCTCCAGATCAGAAATGTGCACAGATTTTGGGGAGGTAGTGGGCATCTTTCCTTTGTTTTCCCTCTATCTTCCTTCTTTTTCTCATGCTCTTTTCCTTCCTTCCTTCCTTCCTTCCTTCCTTCCTTCCTTCCTTCCTTCCTTCCTTCCTTCCTTCCTTCCTTCCTTCCTTCCTTCCTTGTGGTTAGAATGCAGTACTGCAGGCTAGCTCACTGCCAGCAGTTCGATCCTGACCCATTCAAGGTTAACTCTTCCTTCCTTCCTTCCTTCCTTCCTTCCTTCCTTCCTTCCTTCCTTCCCTCCCTCCCTCCCTCCCTCCCTCCCTCCCTCCCTCAACTTTCAAAAAAGAAAAGCTTTAGTTGAGCGAAAAGCAAATTCTGTCAACTGATAAAAATAAGAAGCCAGGATGAATATTAGTTTAGTTATCCTTTCAGTCAATGCTTTCTTTATTTCCCATCCAACCCAATGAGGTTTTGAATTGCTTGGGGTGTGGGGGGGGGAAGAAGGCGTGAGAGAGTTGTGCAAATTAATTCATTGTTTCAGGGTGTCCTGGTATTGCAAAACTCGTGAACCTCTGAATGTTGGCATTGTTTGGAATGGAAAAACGCTCCTTCTGGGTCAGCCTAACCAGACGGCGGCAGGCTACCGGATCCTTGTTTCGATTCTCGAACCCCAGACGTGTGCAAGAGTCCAAAGATGGCCAAAAGGCTTTGAGTCATGATCCTATCCGTTGCATGCTTTACTCCTTTAACCCAAAAGGGGTGGGTGGAGTTTCCACATGTGTCATTATAAAAGCCATTCCTATCAACAGGAGCTGGGAACTATCATAGTTCATAGGATTTGCATGACTCGTCATAATGGCTGTGATTCTCTTCCAATGTTTGACTTTGCAAAGTCAAGGAGTCTCCAAACTTGGCCGCTTTAAGACTGGTGGACTTCAACTCCCAGGATTCCCCAGCCAGCATAGCTTAACTCTCTTTGCCATCCCTTCCTCTGCAATCTCTCTCCACTTTAGGAGATTAAGCAGGCATGGCTGGCTGGGGAATTCTGGGAGTTGAAAGTCCACCAGTCTTAAAGCAGCCAAATTTGAACACCCCTTGTTTGAGATCAGGGGGGAAATCAAATCCAAGGCCTACGGGCTGGATCTGGCCCACGATGAGATCGGATCTGGCCCGGGGGCCGTCCTGGGAAATGTAAGGGCCCAGCCCGCGTCGCTTCGGGCCCAGTTTACCCAATGCGAAGAGGAAACGTGAGGCCAGCAGTTTGGGGGAGTGGCCTCAAGGTGGCCACGCCCATCCAGTCGGCCATGCCCAGCGAGTGGCATCCAGTTGGCCACGCCCCCCCCCCCACGAGATCAACCACAGCCTCAGTGGAAATTGAGTTTGATGCCCGTTCAAGACCTCCCCCGCCCTCCAACCCGCTCCAGGCTCCACCCCTCCAGCTCACATGAGGCTGCACCTGTTTCTGTGCAGCGCCCCCTGGAGGCGCACGGCTGAGTGGTTGCTCTTACAACCGTGGGCCACGGCGCAGCAGAGCAGCTCTTTGAACAGGAGGACGATGTGCCAGTTGTATTTGGCCGAGCACTCCATGTAGCCACATTTCCAGGTCTTCTTCACAAGTAGGGAGAGTGTCCGGCGGGGCGTGAAACGCTGCCGTTGCAGGTCCCGCTTGCTCCCCACGATGATGACGGGGGCTTCGCCGATGTTGTTTGTCCTGGAAGAGAGGATACACGAAGGTGGTTCAGGTTTGGAAGGGGTGGCGGCTCAGCAGTCCGGGCAACGCTTTGGTGCGTAGGCTCATGAAAGTAGCTGCTTCCGGAAAGTCCATTTCTGCAGCCGGAGCCTCATTGGATCGAGGGAAGCCTTAAACGTTTGTGGGTCAGTCTTTTCTGCCCCAGAGCAGGTTTGCGCGCGCTACTTTTTGACAATTCTGTGCATGCACTACTTCAAGAAAAGATGAGCGTTTTGCACCAGCGTGGCACAGGTGGTATTTAGCCGGTTTGGACCGGTTCTGGAGAACCGTTAGTGGAAATTTTGAGTAGATCGGAGAACCGCCCAATGCCGCCACTGACTGGCCCCGCCAACCTCATCTATTCTCTGCCTCCCATTGAGTCCCAGCTGATTGGCTGGGTCTTTTTCTTCCACCAAGACACCAAACCACACCCTCAGAACACCACGCCCATCAAGCCACACCCACAGCTGATTGGCTGGGTCTTTGGTTGCCCTGCACAAGAGAATGGAGCTGGAAAGCAGGTTAGCGGGGCGGGGAGGGAATGGGGATTTTGCAGTATATCCTTCCCCTGCCACACCCACCAAGAAACCAAGCCACACCCACAGAATGCTACACCCATCAAGCCCCGCCCACAGCTGATCGGCTGGGTCTTCTTTGGTTGTTCTGCACAGGAGAACGGAGCTGGAAAGCAGGTTAGTGGGGTGGGGAGGGAATGGGGATTTTGCAGTAACCTTCCCCCCCCGGAGTGAGATCTTACCCAAAATTAGGCGAAGGCACAAGACAGGCAAGTTGGATGGCGCATAACGCCAGGTAAGGAGTGAGTGGACAGAGAGAGGAGAGGCAAGGACAACCTGTGGCACGATTTGCCGGTTCTCCAAACTGCACAGAACTGGCCTGACCGGGTAGAATTCCACCCCTGCCTTCGTCCCCTGCCCTTACCTGTTGTCCTGGATCTGCTGACGGAGCATTTTCACATATTCAAAGCTCTCTGGACTGCAGATGTCGTACACTAGAATGTAGGCGTCCGTGTTTCGCAGGCCCCAACACTTCAGATCTGACCATTCCTGATGGACCAAAAGAAGACGTGGGACAGTGAGTGGAGTCACTGCAGACAAGGAAGAACCAGCCGCAGGTTGACTTGGTCGCTGCCAGGATCCTGACAGGAAGGATCGGGGCGGGGGGCGCATGGCTGAGGCTTTTAAAAATATTTAAGTTCTGTGTTCTATGTGATTAGAATAGAGTAGAGTAGAGATATAAAAAAATAGAATAGATGAAAGAATAGAATGTAGCATAGAAATAGAAACAGAAATATAGAATGGAATAGAAATAGAAATTTAAAATAGAATAGCATGGAATGGAATAGAATAGGAATAAGAATAGAAATAGAAAGTTAGAATAGAATAGAAATAGATTTTTAGAGTAGAATAGAACTAGAAATTTAGAATAGAACTAGAAATTTAGAATAGAATAGCATGGAATGGAATAGAACAGGAATAAGAATAGAATAGAAAT